CACACACACACACACACACACACACACACACACACACACACTCTCTCTCACAAGTGCGCTATCCGCGCGCCGGCGAGGGCGCAGCGGCGACAACGCGCACACACACACACACACACACACACACACACACACACACGCACGCATGCTCAGTATTTGATATGACCAGTATATGGCCTTCTATCCCCCTCCCCCCTCCCCCCTTCCCCAGAATTTTTTTTTTGAGGATTTTTGCCCATACCAGCGTGACGCTTCGACGAGTATTATGGTCCATCTAATGCGACCCTTCAAAAAAAGGGGGCCCCCATGATACGAGTCCCTATGGCACCTGAGCAATGATACTGGGTGGTCCGCTTTTTTCTCCCCAAAATAGCGCTTCGGACGATTGCCTACCCAGATATATACACCTACCAGCCTCAGGAAAATTCCTCTCAATTTTCGGTGACGCCTGGTGTAGTAGTGGGAGCAGTCCTACTGGCGACTATCGATCCGGGTGTTGCTCGGCCGATACCGCTCTGCGCTCGGGCAACACTTGACGGCGCGAGGAGTAAGCTATGGCGGATGCTTTTCCGCCCTGTCTCTGCTTCGGTATCATCGCTGCACGCGTTTTTTGTGAGAAGTGATGTTGTCCTAATGAGAGATTATCGAAGGACTCTGATCTCGGATGGGGGATGTGTGACTACGTGGTGCACGGAGGAAGTCTTGAGTAGGCGCAGGGTGATGGGATTGTGAAGGAGGAGTACGCATGAAGCCGTGATGAGAATCTGTTTTCAAGGAGACAGTCGGGTCGGTCATCTGAATGGGGGGGCGGATGCATGTCGATCGGGAGGCGTGAGTAAGGGTTTGCCTTCAAAAAGAGGGAGGTGTGCAGAAATGTGGGGGAGTGCAAATCTGAATGCCTAGGAGCGTTCCTTCATTCTATGTGTTACTTGGCGAAAGGGGAGTCCCTGCTTCTAATGCGAAATGATAAGTTTGCGCCTGAGTTTGCTCCAGAATACATAAGGCGCGTAGCGGCCGGGGGTTTTTGGCCTCTTTCGGGAGAAGGGGAGAGTAAGGTGGTTATCTGAGCGAGCTGTCAACAAGGATATTGTCGTATCATCAGAGGGAGCATGGTAACAAGTTTGTGTTTCCCCACTTACCCTACCCGTCCCTGTCTCCCCAGTACCATCTTCTTCTCATCTACCTAAGTGTACGCATACTGTTAGTGGGTGTACGTGTATGCATACCGAGTCGCACTGCTTGCCGCGTTTGCGGGGTGTTGTTTCGCTTAAACACACACACACACACTCACTCACTCACTCACTCACAATCAATCAATCAATCAATCAATCAATCAAACCCCTTTTTTGAAGTTTTTTCTTTATTTATTTTCAAATTTTGCATCTGCATTTTTTTWAAACACCTCATACCCYTGCAAAAAAMAGAAATTCATTTCTAAAAAAATACAGGTGAACTCRGRGACCATATATCTCATGATAAAAAATGACAAAAAAAAAATCCAGCTTTTCTTTTTTTTTTTTTTTTTTACTTTTCTTTAAATCGAATTTAGTTTTTGATTTTTTTAAAATCCTAAACAAAGTCGGATTCCAAAAAAAAAAAAAATGGGGTTGTAGGGCTTAAGATTCCCTACAACCCCATATATATATATACATATATTTTAACCTATTATTTAATTTAGGAAAATTCTGGTAAAATCGGGTCCGCGGCACGGACCAGGTCGGCCGCGGACGCAGCCTCATCTGCGTCCGGCATCCGAGATCGGACCCGCGGACACGTCCGCGGGTGTTTTATAGGTCCTGCCTCCCCTCGTTCTCCCTATGCCTTGGCTCAGGAATCTCCGTTCTTCTCCCGTATCCTTCCTCAAAGTCCGGGTATCTCCCCTCACAACTGCCATGGCCGCTCCGCTCTTCACGCGGACTTTCCCTTCTCCCTTCCCCATCTTCGCGCCCGTCGCACATGTCCTGCCTCCCCTCGTTCTCCCTATGCCAAGGCTCATGCCGCTCGCATCTCTTGACCCTTCCTTCGGCAGAGGCCCGAGTCTTTTCTCCTCTTGCTGTGCCCCCTTCTTCCACACTCGCCCTTTCTTCCTCGCTCTCACTTCTGGATGAGATATATATACCTTCTCCCTTTCGGAGGGGCGAAGACCCTCTACACACACGCTTTCTAGCTCCCCTGCCTACCACTTGTTTGGACAGGTATCCTATATACAACTTTCTCTTCACGGTCCTCTGCTCTCGACTTGGTCCTGCTCCCCCCCCTTCGCTGGGCCTGTTAATGACACCACTGTCATTTTCGTTGCCAAATTCCATTTTTGCTTTTTTAAGGCTTCTTTCCTGATCATGTATAATCAAAACAACACCCACCGAGCCCCCCCCACACACGTTCCCCCAGTTCGGTAGGCAGTACCCTTTCCCCCACAATGCCCCCAGTACCTTTCGCATCAGGCCACTATTATACATTGCCCTTACATGCAAATGCTACATTTATAATGATCCCATTATTTTCCCATCAAGGACTATGATACACTGCTCCCGACAACCTTCCCCATTGCCACGCAAAGTCCGTTATCACAAGGTCCCAGGGCCTCCCGCCTTCCAACTTCAGTCAGTCCAAACCATTGCCCCATCCCCCCAAAAAATGACAGTCCCACACACGCCGTCAGAGACAAAACCATGGTGTGGGCAAGGCCGCTGTCAGTCCTTAGCTTATAGCCCCTCAATTTCCTTATCCTCAACCTCCTGAAGCCACTGGTCCACTGGGTCCCGACTTAGAAACCTAACCAACCGTTGCCCTTGGAAGGGTCCTTTCAATCCGGTTCCATCCAAATCTTCCACTTCGAAGGTGCTCAATCCCACCTGCTTGGCGACCCGGTAGGGGCTTTTGAACCTCCTCCCCAGTTGCATCGACCAAGTACTTTCTAGTGCCAAGTTTCTTACCAATACCGTCTCCCCCACCTGAAGTGTCTCCTTTCGAATATTCTTAACCTGGTCCCACCTTGCTTTGTCCCTCATTCTGTTGTCTAGTACCCGATTGGCGATGTCTTCCTTGACCTCCTCATTACTAAGGACTTGTTGACATCTTGCCTCAATTAATTCTTCCGTGGTCATACGTGGATCGTCATCTAACCTGTTCCAGGTAGGTACCAAGGCCTCCACGGGAAAATCGATCTCTCTTCCATACCAAAGTTCCGCTGGGATACATCCCATTGTCCTCTTAGTTGTCGTGTTCTCCGAGAAGACAGCCTGCTTAAGATACCTAGGCCAGCTCCCCAAATTGTCCGCCGCGAGCTTCAGAATCGTGTTCTTTAAGGTCCGGTGCCCCTTTCCACAGGTGCATTGGCCTCCGGGTGATATGGCTCGATGAGTTTGATAGGTACGCAAAGCCTTTTAAGCCTTCCCAACACTTCTTGGTTTACAAACTCCGTTCCACTGTCTACTATAAACCTCTTGATGAAGGGATGCCTCGGGTAGAAATCTTCTATCCAATCAGCTATACTTTTCCTCGTCTTTTTCTTGAGGGCGACTACTTCTACAAACCCACTCAAGTTGTCCCGCACGTCCAGGATATACCTATATCCATAAGCGGATACGGGCATAACTGCAAGGTCAAGGTGGACCAGATGTCCTGGTCCCAGCACCCGAGTTGACCTAAGTGGTTCGAAGACGCGTGCTGAGCTCCGCTCTTGGCAGATTAGGCAGGTCTGGGAGTACGTGGTGACCATACCTGCCATGCCTGGCCAGTAATAGAGAGGTATCATCTTTGCAGGAGTTCCTTTGGACGATCGATGTCCTTCTGCTAGTCTGTCGTGCATTGCCTGGATCACGTCCAACTGCCTAGACCTTCCGCACATAACTCTTCTAGGCATAACACCTTCCTCCCTTTTGAACAAATGACCGCTCCTTAGGACGTATGGGTTGTTTGTTTCCTACCAGCAACAATCCAATCTCCCGAAAAATCCCTTCGTATATCTGAACATAGAAAAACTTCCTTCCTTCCTGGTCCTCGTCCTTTCTCTCCTGCATCTGATTTACCATCAGCTGCAACTCTTTTCGTTCCCAAGACTCCACTAGGCTTATCACGGCTTCCCGACCTCCCTCGACCGCCATTGCTATCAATTCCTCCTTCGGTCCTACTATCGCTCCTCACGAATCCTTCTCCTCTTTGCGTCCTCGAGTGGTGACAGGACCTTCTCTAAGCTCTGCTACTACGGCAGGAGCCTCCTTTTCCAAGGTCTAAATCAACAATTCTATCGACGCGCATCCTTCGCCCATCATTTCATTATCCACGGCAAGGGTTCCTCCTTCGTATTCAAGGAACG